CCGGGACCTCTTTGCAGCCGCGGTAACCTCCTGCGGGGGCCGCGCGGGGTAAGGCTCGCGGGCCGCTAGACGCCCCCTGACCAGGCGCGCGCTGGACGTACTTGGGTTCGGAAGGCCTGGTCAGCTGTGCGGCTGTGTTGTCGCGGATGTTGCCTCTGGGCCCGTGTACGCGGGGCACGCTGAGCTCTGAGAGTGACGGCGGCCGGGAGCTGCGCCGCGGGCTCGTTCTCTTGCCGGGCCAGCGTCGGGAGCGGGCTGGAGGGCTAGGAGCCGAGAGCCGCTCGCGGAGGAGGCACCTGGTTTCACAGGCGTGCCGGCCTCTCAGCCCTGGGAACAATCCGGCTGGATAGCGGTGGCGGTGTGGCTTATTGTCATGCAGTGCGGGCTTGCATTGGAGAGGTCCTCAGCCCAGAGCCCGGCCGAAGGAGGTACCTCGTCGGGTGCAGGGCGTCCCGGGGCGGGGTGGGGAGACCTCGCTGCCTTGCCAGGCACTTAGATTAGTGCTGCGTATATGTGATGGGTGATTAAATGCTTTTGGAAAGCCTCCTGGAGCTTGTGTGTTTGTGAGTCTGTGGTGTAAAACCAAACCAAGGCAACTAAAAGCCCTTTTTAACTAATTTCAGGTATGCCTCTCTTTTTTAAAATTGTACCAAGAAAAGGAAACAAATCTGGAAAATGCAGGGCTAATTTATGCGTCAGGCACAGGAATCCCAGTGCCATAGGCCCAAGGAAGGTACTTTTAGGAGCTTGTAAAAGTATTTTCTTTCAAAAAAAGAAATGAATTTTTTTTTAGATAGTCTCACTCTGCCTCCCTTGGTAGAATGCCATGGCGTCATTGGTCACAGCAACCTCAAACACTTGGGCTTGAGCAATCTTCTTGCCTCAGCCTCCCAAGTAGCTGGGACTGCAGAGGTGTACCACAAGGACTGGCTAGTTTTCCTGTTTTTAGTGGGGTCTTGCTCTTCCTCTGGCTTGTCACAAACTGGTGAGCTCAAGCAATCCACCTGCCTTGGCCTCCCAAAGTGCTGGGATTACAGGGGTGAGCCCCTGTGCCCGGCCAAAAATGAACTTTTAAGGAATTTCAGAGAACATGTTTTAATGTGTATATGTACATATATACATATGGTTTTATTTGCACCAGTGTACCAACACAGTGGAAAAGTACGATTCTCAGGTTTTTTTTAATGGAGGAGTGGTCCCATGGAGGCAGACATGCCAAGGCTATCTTTTGTGAGCCTGAGTTTGGGAGCACAGCAGTGTATGTCCTTTGACTGTGCTGGCCAGGGCCCGGGCATACTGCCTCTCTCAACCTTGTGCATGGACTATCTGCCTCCCCAGGGTAGCTGGTGGCCAAGGCCCTGGGGCTCATGCTCAACATGGACAGACTCAGTAATGCTTCTCAGGGCTCCCCAAGGGTGGCTGCTTGCTCCCTACTTTTGGCTGCTCCCTGGCAGTAGGAACTGGTTGTGGGGTGGCCTTAGTAGGAAAAGAAGCCTGGAAAGGGGCCACCTGCAGAGGAGAGTACGCTATACATTGCACATGAACTTTATGGCCACCCTGTATGGGTCTTAAAGGTCAGAACTAAAGGGTTTGTGGGTTCCTGGGGTTAAATTCTTTAGAAAACCTCTGTACCTGTAGAGAGGCGAAACATCATGCTGTGGTTCCTGGGTCCCAGTTTTGTAGATGAGGTCACTAGGCTTAGAGGTGAAGCCATATATTGGGCCAGTCTTGGGAACATTTCAGGTTTCAGGTCCAGCATCTCCTGGCTGGATAACAGAGGTGACAGATGTCCCCTACTCCTTTTCCCTGGCTAGTCTGTTCACCTTTCCTGCCATCTGGCCAGCAGCAATGGAGAAAGTACTTGTGAGTGCTTGCTGCCTGCCCATCACCAGGGGTGTTCGGAGAGAACAAGCCCCTTGTTCCTTTAGGAATGCCAGCTGTGGAAGCTGGGCCAGCTGCATATCAGTTGTGCACAGTGGGTTGAGTGCTACTTAGTGTGGGGCCCAGAGGCCTGTGGTGGAGGTGGCATCTGTGTACCTGTGAAGCAGGGATCTCAGGCTTCATAGGGGAATCTCTCACTGGGGTCTGAGTGGGCCATGGGTTGGGGTGGCTCTGGTAGAGGGAGCAAAGTTGCCCTTTTGATCCCAGGAGAACTTGGCACCTGCCCTTGATGGTGCCTTGAGTGGCTCTACACACGAGGGGGGCTGCACTGGCTGCTTGGCTGTGATTGGGCAGTGAGGGTGGGTCTTGCTAGTGTGCTGGTCTGTGCCCCTTCATACGTCCACCCTCTGTCCTTCCTGACAGGGGCCTGGCTCTGCCTGTCTGGTGCTTATTAGGAAAAGGGGCTTCTCTGATCTTGGTGTGTATTCTTTCTGTGGGGGTCTTGGGTTTAGAACCACACTTGGATGTGAGGAGGGCACCTACAGGAACATGCTCTTAGAGGGAGGCAGGCAAGGAGAATGCCTTCCACCCTATGCCTGCTGGAGTCCCTGAGGACAGGGCCAAGCCAGTTTGGGCTCCTCTCTGCTGCAGGGAGGGGTGCGAGGACTTTTAGTAAGTGGGGGCAACACATGACCTTTCACCAAAGTTTCTTTTAGATGCACCTTTGATCTTGGTTGATTGAGGATGTGTTACCTGTCAGGTTCTGTTCTAAGCACCAATGTGTGTATTAACTTTGAGGAGGTCCCTGGTAGATGCTGTTATTAGCCCCACTTTATAGATGGGGAAATACACACACAGTGCTCATAAAGCTAAGTGGCTGAGATGAGGTTTGAATCCTAGAAGTCCGGCCTGTGTCCCCATAATGCACCCTTAGCCAGGGCCCTGTCCACTCTACCTGCGTGTGTCCAGCTCTGCCCACAGAAGAACCTCACATTATGCTTTGAACAGTTTCTTTAACCCCAGCTGTGGACCCCAGGCTGCCTCTGTCCCCTCATGGGTTCTGGGGCACTTCTAGTTTGGGGTGCAGAACCTTTTTCCACTTCAGTACTCTGGTCTGAAGGAAAGAGCCACTTTCCCCCTCATCCCTTCTGTGGTTCGCCATATGACTACTGGTGATGTGTGAGAAAAAAGGATTGGGGTCTTCTGCTGAAATACCCATGACAGCGAGAGGGCAGGCACGTCTGGTGGCCACTGACTGTGATCCTGTCTGCGTAAGGAATGCTGCATCAATTGCTGATTCTAAAACTGTGCTTTTCTAGCTTTAATTGTGAAACAAAATCATGTCATTGTTTCAGCCACCATACACAGCTAAGAAAATGTTTGCCTTCCAAGTGAGTGCTGCTGCCACAGTCCTCGGACTGTATCCCCTTCCTGCCTGTTGCTGGCCCTAAAAAAGCTTGTGTTTGGCCAGGCCTCCTAGTGGGGGAGCGGGACTGGAAGCTACCTTCATATTGCTGGCACAGCTAGCTGGGAGAGGCAAGTGAGTTGGTCTGGTCACACGGCGGGGAAGCAGCCTAGCTGAGGTCAGACCCAGGTGAGCTGGCTCCCAGTTCAGGGTTCTTTTCCCTTTGTGGTGAGGGATCTATGGGAGCTGAGAAGTGGTCACAGCACCTTGGCTCTGGAGCCCAGAGTTTGCTTTCTTGTGGGGGTTGCAAATAGGAAGAGTGTCACTACAAGTACAAGCAACTAAAGCTCACAAGTGATGGAGAGTTGAGGAGTCTGCCTCTGACCTTTCTGAGTGCCTGAGTTTCAGTGATCTCCTCCGACTCTTTGTAGAATTTGTTGCTCTGGTAGGATCAGGCTTTTGGGTTGCAGTTTCTTCTTTTTTTTTTGTTTTTTCCTAGTCAAGCGAAGCAGTGGGAGTGGAGGCAGTTTTGTTTTTTTAGTTGGAAAATGATGTAACACACTTTTCCCCTTCATTAGCTAATGAATTGGCCTTTTTTTTTTTTTTTGACACAGTCTCCCTTGGTAGAGTGTAGAGTGTTGTGGTGTCACAGCTCACAGCAACCTTAAACTCTTGGGATTAAACGATTCTCTTGCCTCAGCCCCCCAAGTAGCTGGGACTACAGGCACCCACCACAATGCCTGGCTATGTTTTGGTTGTAATTGTCATTGTTGTTTGGCAGGCCCGGACTGGGTTCGAACCCGCCAGCTCCAGTGTATGTGGCCGGTGCCCTAGCCACTGAGGTACAGGTGCTGAGCCTGAATTTTCCTTTTTTTTTTTTTAAAGAAAACTTTATTGCACCTTCAGCTCAAGATGGTGAGTGAACTTTTTTTTTTTTGAGATAGAGTCTTACTATGTTGCTTTCGGTAGAGTACTGTGGCATCATAGCGCTACAGCAACCTCAAACTCCTGGACTTAAGTGATTCTCTTGCCTCAGCCTCCTAAGTAGCTGGGACTACAGGCACCTGCCACAATGCCTGGCTATTTTTTTGTTGCAGTTGTTTAGCTGGCCTGGGCCAGTTTCAAACCCACCACCCTTGGTGTATGTGTCTGGTGCCATAACCACTGTGTATGGGCACTGAGTCCATAGTGAATGAACTTTAAAAGAAAGAAAAAAACTTTTTCTTGGAAATAATTTGAAACTTAGAGAAAAGTTGAAAGCATAAAATTAGTTCCAGGAATATCTACCTGCATGGGCGGTGCCCATGGGTGAGTAGGGCACTGGTTCCATATACCAAGGGTGGTGGGTTTGAACCTGGCCCCCACCCAAACTGCAACAAAAAAATAGCTGGCCATTGTGGCAGGTCCCAGCTACTCAGGTGGCTGAGGCAAGAAAATTGTCTAAGCCCAAGAGCTGGAGGTTGCTGTGAGCTCTAAGGCCACGGCACTCTACTGAGGGTGACAAAGTAGGACTCTGTCTCTAAAAAAAAAAAAAAACACCTGCATGTCCTTTATTCAGACTTCCCTGCTGTTGGCGTAGCGCCTTGTACCCCCTGTGCATGCACCTGCCTGCGACGTATATAGATACGTACTCACATTCAGTGTTTTTTTTC